ACTACATGGATATAGTAGAATGTACACGCTGTACTAGAGACTGCTCGCTCCATCGTAGAGACGACGGATTCGGGTATGAAGAGTGGTGGTCTTCGATTATTACTAGTATACTCAAAATGGAAAGCTCTAGAACCCTCATTTTCGGCGAAGAGAGACCCGACGCGGACACCACATTATACCACCAGCTAGCAAAGCTGAGCCTAGCGCAGGTGTAAATGTGGCTACGCGAACACGTAATAAATTATAGTATTCTGTAGTAGTGCATATCCAAAAATGGGGGTGAAAAAGCAACTGTTGTGTTGCGTTAAGAATTTTCGATCCTGCGCCTACGGGAACGATATCGCTCGCAGAACAGGTCACTGTATCCAAGAAACTAATATTCTCTTGACCTTTCGGCAACTTGCGACCAGTTCTTCTCTCGAAATCCATTCTCACAAACTTGCGAAGGGCTGGAAAGTTGATATGATTCAACAAATCGTCCTCCTTTAAATTGTACAGGCCCATTTGTTTGGCAACGTACTTCATGCTTTTCCTCTGATCAACCCAGTCCTGCAGCCACACCTTCGCTTCTGCCTTGGTTAGGGCAACGCTGTTGATACGGGCCCATGATCTCTCTTCGTCACTGACATCGTCGACCGCCCGAAGGACACGACGGCCGAGCTGAGCGTTCTTATTCAGCGGAGTGCTTTGGGGATGGTCAGACTGCGTCGCGAGCAAGCGTGCTTCACTACTTGCAAAGAGAGCCCACTAGTAGGGAGAAGAAAGCACGCATGCTTAGTCTAGAAAGTCAAGTGTAGCTGTTGATTTGCGCGCGCGGAAGCAGATTCTAGAATGAATTTGAGACCAGTGGAGCTCGAACGGCGCTGTTGTTGTCTCATACCCCACAGCTTATGGCACAAGTGTTACATATAAATTGCCACCTCCATAATAAATATCCTAACTGGATGATTCAGTCTTTTGTGAATGGTGGTACATGTACGGTACGCGTACCCCACTCCTTACAGAAGAAAGGTCACAGGCAAAGGTGCCACCTTTAAGACATGTAACTTGGTCAAAGCGTATCAAGCCAGCCGCCTACGTCGAGGCTGAAGATTGTTGCTACGCTTCAAATCGATACGCGTCTGCATCTGCATTACTTAGCATCACTGTCCTCATCATCGCTGTTAGCATATCTAACTAGCTCGACACTCTTCGATAGAAACCTTAGCTGCAAAAATGGTAGAACATTACGAAGCGAGTCATCTCCTCTGACTCGTTTGTTTAGGTTTTATAATGTTAAAATAAGCGTGTAAGGCATACATGTAGTAAAAAAACAAATGGTAATTGATATTATATATTTTATACACATATCGCTCATTTGTCAGTCAAATCGGTTAAACTGGTTGCTCTTGTGATTAGTCTCGGAGCCTCGTTACGACAGTCGTATACATTCTGTATACTTCCGAGAGCAACAGGATATGGTTCGCGATATGAGGCGTAGCAAGAATCTACTATTTTACACGACCGTCCTAGTGAGTCACAAGTTGTGACTCGCAGGGACGCAAGTTGCCCCCCCCTATCCAAGCCGTGACAGATCGCAAGAATTACAAAAAGTACAACAACATTATTATTGACGGTCATTGTAGGTGAGGCGGGGACCAGGGAAAACAATAAGATTTGAAAACTATACCGCCTACTCGACTACGACGTAATTCGTAATACTTTACAGTTACTGTATATTTGATAGCACTCGCGGCTAGTAATAACTAAAGGCCACCAGTCGTCATACCCGAATCCGTCGTCTATGATGGCGCGAACAGTCTCTAGTAGAGCGTGTGCACTTTAATATCTTATTCATATATCCGTGTAGTGTCAATAGTACAGGTAGTATATTTATAAGAAATGTAAGGTTCCACAGATGGGTTTAATGGAGCCTTTAAGTAGATTTATTATTTAAAATCCGCAATAAGAATGATGACCGGTGGCAATTGAAAACTGCAATCATTACAATCTTTGCAAGCTTTCATAAAACCCTCGCCTGCAGCCTCGAAGTCCATGGTATTCAAGAAGACCATAGTGGTGCCTTTAAGTTCTATTTATTAGAAGGGGTTCAGCTACACTTGGCAATCATTGTAAGCCATACACTGACATGCACGTCTACGATGAGGACTTGAGTCCGACGAAGACGAGGAGATCAGCGTCAGCGCTCTGGTTTGACGGTTCATGTTATCAAAAGTAGCTGCAGAACATACGTCAAACAAAATGTGAGCGCAGGAGGAGCCTCAAAATCGACTATGGAGTGGCACTGCTGAGAGGACACCTCGTCGTAGTCTTCGAGGCCAAAGCTGCATGGCTATAAATCGGCTGAAGAATCTTCAGTGAAGATACGCGAATGTTCCCGGCACGAATCTTCTGTCCCAGCACATACCCACACCAAAGATTGTGCTACCAGCGCAATTTGTTGTGACTCCTTTTTTGTAGGCCGTGTGGTGAATAGAATCACGGATCTTTGCTGAGTATTACGAGTAGTACAGTACAATTTGTATTAATACTAGTACAATTATAGCCGCGAGGGCTATCAAATATACAGTAATTGTAAAGTATTACGAATTACTTCGTAGTCGAGTAGGCGGTATAGTTTTCAAATATTATTGTTTTCCCTGGTCCCCCGCCCCACCTACAATGACCGTCAATAATAATGATGGTGTACTTTTGCAAATCTGGGGGGTCTCGCAGCTTGTGTCACAACGACGGTCGTGTGAAATCGGAGATTCTTGCTACGCCTCACATCGGGAACCATATCCTGTTGTTCTCGGAAGTATATAGACTGTATATGACTGTCGTAACGAGGCTCCTAGACTAATCACAAGAGCAGCCAGTTTTACCGTTTTGGTTGATAAATGAGCGATATGTGAATGAAATGTTGGGGGACCCGGACCGCGGTAGTGATCCGGTGAGTTCGCAGCTCTCAGGCGTACAAAAAAAGTTTTCGTATTTGGAGAATGTTGTAGTATTGGATGGCAATGTTTCTGGGAATATGCTAGAGGCAGACGAGCGCGAAGTTATCTTGCGGAAGCCACTTGTGTGGACACGAGTACTGATATCTACATGCAGTGTTGTTATAGTCGATGATGTCACCAGCGAGAATCACGACAACTTGACCAAGGTAGACGGATGTATCTTTATCGGGATCTCAGTAGTTTTGGATGAGTTTTAGCATATTATAACTCACCACCATTCTTTGGAAAAGCTTTTTTCTATGAGCAAAAAGGCTTTTTTATATTCAGGGGGATTAATTATATTCAAGGGGCTTCTTTGTATCGACAAATGCTTTCTATGAAATGAAATTCTATGGGCTCTATTGTTTTGAATTGTCAGCTAGGAGCTGACAATGTTTGCAGTAATATGGTCGTTACATGTGGGCTCGTATTTTCTACTATCATAAGCTGACGTTTTTTTTCAGAGAAAGAGCAGGTATTGCTCTGTGCATTGTATTGAAGACATTAACCAGACGATATTTCTGTAATAGAGGAGATAGCGTTCTTTGTAGTGCACTGTATACGATGATCTGACGTAATTGTCAGTATTGGAGTAGGTAGCGCCCTATTCCAGGCGATAAAACTTAGAAAATTTTAAATCTAGAAAAAGTAAGCCTATTTTACCGATTTTTCTAAGCCTTCCCGCGTAACTCACTCTTTAATTTGTCTTCGATGTGCCCGTTAAAGCGTCTTCGGGTCTCTTTAGACCATGCAGCACTCGCAATTGACCGGATTAGGGCCGATCTAGAAGTCACAGAGCGCATGCTCGCCGTCGCGTCGTTACGACATTTAGATGGGTATCGTTCGTCATCTCCCAATCCCTTTTTCCCCTCGGAATCTGAGTCTGAATTCGATTAAGAGACGGAAGGGACATCGACTCGGGCTAAGGTCTAAAGAAATGTCTGACAGCACTTCAAGTTCGATATAGGAATTCGCCAGATCGGCTTGCGATGTTCTCTAGTGTTAAGCAACTGAAGAATCGGTCACAGAGACTACAAAAACATGAACATTTTTCAATCACAAAATACGCCGACGTGATGGAGTGGGTCATCCGAGAATGTGCACAGCGCTTGAGCAATTTCAGTAGCACCACGAGTATGATTTGGGCTCGGATACATTGTAGTTTTGTCAGCATCAATCAACTTTCAGCATGAGCTACTTGTGCCGTATTGCTTTACAGATCCTCTAGAGAATGGAGAGGTTTCTGTCGGGATTATCTTCACGTTCAGGCGATTGTTCAGGACTGCTCCTAGGCAAGTACTAGGTCAACGTTTCATCGACAGATCCCCGGAAGCGCTTGGTGTGACGGATAATACTTATAATATCCATTTTGGCGGATGGACACTAGTTTTGTTCGGGACCGTTGGGGTGAGTTACGCGGAACTGAACAAGTATCAACCGAATTCCTACCCAATGGCGTTCATGTTCACTCGGACAAAAAACAGCCTTCGCGTATCCACGGCGCTTTACTGTCTGCAGGGACAAATGTGATCTGGTTTGTAGTGGAGCTTTGGAGCTCAACTTCGGATCAATGGATCACTCTGCCGCTATCGCAAGTGCATTTCGCCAAGTTTGGCCTGACATTAAATTTTGATCTGCTGGCCACATTGGTATCGCAATGCCAGAGGCAAAACGGTTTTTTGCCTTCAAGTAAGCGCTACCAAGAAATCATTCAGCCGCAGCTAGAATACCACAGCGAAGCGCGCTCGCTTGGGCGGGTTCGAGGTTTTATCCGAGCTATTGGTCAAGAACTGGGAGACGTTGGGTGAAGCCGAGTACGCACGGTGGCTTAGAGATAAATGCCTGACAGCCCCCTTGAATTTGTGGTTCTATACTGCAAGTGACACTGCTGGAGTGCTACCAAACCAAAATCCGATTGAATCCCATAATTGAACAATCAAGGCCACGGTAGTAAGTCATCTTCGAGCAGCGACGGGGCACGTTCTAGCTGGAACTTTGCCTAAACGCTTGATTGAAAGTACTATGGACATCGACTCTGAGCCTAGCAGGCATTATGCGTTTGGCCCAGTGAGCGCACAAGATTTGGAGATGGTTGTGGCTCTATACGAAGACGGCAATCACTACCCTCCTCACAGACGAAAGTCCAGACGGGCGGTTAACAGCATCCAAGAATATTTTTTCAACGCCAAACACTACATCGTACGTGATGACAACGTCCACGACCTTAAGCTTAACGGCAATCGAACCAAAACGCACAACGCCTCGCTCAGAGGTAACCTCAAGCAAAACCGAGAAGGTGGAGAACATCCAGCTGCGCTATTTGTCGATTCACGTCGTGGGCATTTTAGATCGAAATATCTTCGAGCACGATTGGGACAACCATACCTGGAGCAACGACGAGATCAAAACGATTCGCCGTAAATTCAAGTGCGACTGTAAGCGGTTTTACCAAACCGGCTGGCTCTGCGCTCCTGTTTTGACATATCTACATCTCGTAGCCTCCCTAGACCTACAGGCTATGCTACCAAATCTACCGGCTCGAAAGCCACCTGGACGGCCTCGGAAAAAGACAAGATGCCTGGATCATGACAGACTTCGAAAGTCGCAGTATGCTGTGTACTCGCTGATCAAGGGTCGGTGGATAAGCCCGCTAGTGTCATCTACTGGAGCATTATGATGGACGATCATATAACTAACGACGAAGGCGAAGGATCAGATCTCAACCACGTTGGGAAAGTTAAATCACCTTTCATGAAATGCAGTAAGCGATACTGGAACATCGAATTCGAGGAAGGAGAGGAAATCAGCGCCTTGGGGGTTGAAGAATTGGCAAGAGCGATTAACTACTTGTACCAGATAGGACACAACATTGTACCCAACTAGAAGCGTACTACGTTGCAGGCCAGCAGCTGCATGTACAATGCATATTTAGTCCAGAAACATCAAACCGAAAAACTATATAA